CTTCAGGAAGTTCATTATTTTTTTTTTTTTATTATTTTCCCCTTCCAGTTTGGGTTATCTGACATGGTTACAGGCATATGATTACTTATGTTGCAAATGATAGTGAGGGAGCTGGAAACAGCTGATTTAAACTAAACATCTGTAAAAGCTTTTGTTTTTTGTATACAATTTTCGGTGAGAGTTGTACCTTGTCAGCAGTTTACTTACTAGCTGAATTAAAAACTCTGTCTAATTTTACTAACAGATTATTTGCTTCAGGTTTGCAGTATATGTAATGCTGTGGTACTGAGATGATGCTGATGCTCAAAAGGAGGAATTTTATATAATATTTCTTAGGGTGACTGCTGTTTTAAGATGAGTGCCCCTTGCTGGTTAAGGCAGCGTGTACTGCACAGATATTCATCTAAAAGAGCAAAACCTCTGTGTGTTCTAGAAAGTATTTTTGCATGGCACGCACTCTAAAAACCAGAGCTCAACTTGATTCATAAAGAATAGGGATCTGTGATGAGAAACACAACATTATAGCAGATCTGTGAGTGCTTTATCTGGGAATTGTTGCATGCTGTTGGTGACACTTGTGCCTGTCAGTGTTAAACTAGTTTGAGCCCTTGTGTTTAACTTCTTAAAAACCTCTTTTGAGAAGAGGTTCAGGGGTAGTGAGACTTACTGTGATTGCCATTATTCTTGGTCTTACTTTGGAAACAGCTCGTATGTGTTTGGAGGGGGAGAGTTTGAGCAGCAACAGTTCCATGACACTAACGGAGCTGCAGTCGGGGAGCAGAAGTCTAAAAATGGGTTGTCGTGTTCAGAGAGTCACAAAACATCATGGATGGAGTGGTGGGAAGAATTTTATATACTGGACCGTCTACAGAGGTCTGGAATAGGAACCCTTTCAAAAGTAGCAGGGCTATGTGAATGCAGTGTGGGAACTAAAGTGTTGTGACCTTCAGAAAGCTTCCTTCATTTTCCTCAGATTTGTAGAGGTTATTGGAAAACATTTGTATAGCAGATGTAGCTGGCTGTAACCACAGCTATTCTTAGCCTCCTCTCCACGTCTGGTTTTAGATGTGCTTGTTCTGAGTCCTCTCTGAGGGCACCTCTGTGTGACCAGTACATCCTCCATGCTTGCCCTGTGCCGAGCCCCAGTGCAAAGCCAGCGGTACTCTGCCTGTTCTCTGCTCCTGTGCATCGATCACTGCGAACGGTGGCACCTTCAGGCTCCATTTATAAGTATCATATATGAAAATGTGATTAAAATCAGAGCTGCTGTCTCGTGCCTAGCTGTCACTTGGGTAGAACTCTGGAGGAAATTAGGGCTGTGTTCCTGCCAGGTTTGCATCTTCTGGGCCGTGCTGGGGCCGGCTCCTCACATTGCAACCCGCGGTCCTGGGCGAACGGGACGGTGACTCCCCAGTCGGTGCAGCGTCCTGGTCCCAGCTCGGCGGAGCGCGGCCGCGGCCCCAGTGCCGCAGGGGTTAAAGGCAAAGCCGTGCAGTGAAAAGGAAGTGCATTGCAGAATGCTGAGCTCAGTACCCTGGCTCCCGGCCAAGCCCGCTCTGAGGGCTCCGTGAGTGAGCGAGTTCCCTCCCACCCGCGGCCTGTGGAGCTGTTCAGGAATGCCGCCGCCTGACGTCAGGGAGTCGAGCGGTTCAGCCCGGGGACAGACGGGCGGGCCCGGCCGCGCCCCCGCGCCCGCTCCTCCCCGAAATTCCCTCCCGGCCTGCGGGAGGTAGGCGAAGTTGCTGTTTACCGAGAAAAAGCAAGTGGCACACACACGCGTCGCCGACCCGGCGCTTTTGTATTTCGTATTTGATGTTGCAAGTGAGCCCGTGGAGAGCTCTCGAGGTCGCAGGGCTAGTGGATTTTGGGGGGCTGGGTGTGCCCTCCGCCGCCGGAGCTCCTGCCCTGCCCTGCTGTCCGTCGGGTGACAGAAGCGCCGTAGCAGTAAGGCACCATGGTGCCATCACAGCCCCGTGTTTCTTGAGTTAGGGGAGAGCTTATGTAGGAAGGTATTTGGATGGTGGCAAAGTGTTAAGCTTTCCGTTAGAAACTAATAAAACTACGTTGGATTTGATTGCCTTCTGAGTGATGTTCTCTTCAGTTCTTTAATTGGATTCAGGGCAGATCTGTGCTTCTGGATTATTATGAAACAAATGCAGAAAATGATTAGAAAGTATCCAGGCTGTTTGAGAGTGACAGAAAACATGTTTCACTATCAGCCTTACTTTCAGTAGAGGTAAGTGGAACATTACTTAAATATTTCCCTTTTTAAATGGATTTTGGGAAATAGGTTCATTGCAGAGACTTCTCGGCTACCTTGATTCTTGCTAAGTAGGTCCAGGGAGCTTCTTTGAAGCTGCTGGTCTTTTAATTCAGTTTTTTGGGGCCTACCTTTCTTCCTATAACCAGTCATGTTGTTTGTAGTCTTCACTATTAAAATATGCAGAAGTTCTAGGGCAGTGTTTATCACTACAGGTCCCTGATCAGTGTGCACTTGTTGCACACTAATGCTGTTGTAAATTAGACGTAAAGGTTGCAGGACTCCATTCAGAATTTAAATGTAAATACATGAGGGACTTTGCTAACTAATAGTTCTGTGAAGGAGAGGGGAAGTAGAAAAAAAACCTCAAGAGAAGCCCATTTCTCTTTCCTCTCCCGCTTGTCCTGTCCTGATAATGATATTGCAGATACAGGTGGCATACCTGTTCCTAGTATTGAGGAAGACAAATGAGAGGACAGTCAGCAGATTGGAGATAAAAATTTTTGAAACTGTTAAAAACTTGTTCGTGCAAGGCAGGTCTCGTTCATGAAATTAACTGTCAGATGGTGTTGTAGCCAAGTCTTAACCAGAGCCAAAAAAGACCAGAAATACTAGTATGGAAAAGACCTTTCAAAATTTGTTTGAGTCATCATCTAGTCAGTGGTTGGAGCTTTAGAAGTCAGAAGTAGTAAATTTTTTCTGTACTGCTGACCTGCTGCATGACTCTGGGTGAGTCACTCTGATGTATATTGCTTTCTCCACTGTCCTTTTCCTGTCTTGTTTGTTGGAGATTATTATTAAATTTTGTGAGTGCTGCTGGACAGTGCATACCACAGTGGTGCCTCAAGTTCTGTCTGGGGCATCTGGACAGTAGTAATACAGTAGTGTGACTACGAGGAAGCCTCTGGGTTGCCTCTGTGAATCAGACCAGTTTACACCTCTCATTCCAGCAAGGAAATCTGGAATTTCCTCTTGAGCTGTAAAATGACTAAGTCTAGTGAAATGCAGCATAAACCATATAAAACAAGTTTGGAGCTTTCAAACTTTCTAAATAGTGCAGGCTATGGAATAGAAATTGCCTACAATGGGTTTGAGCCGTGAGAAACTCACTCTAGTTCTGCATTTCTGGAAAGAATAGGCACCACATAAAGTTTAACATTTACTTCTCAAATTCACTGTCAGAGGTTTAATTTGATGTGTGGAGATGGATTTTACTAGAATATTTACCTAAGCATGATTTTAAAAAAACCTAGATCTATGAATTAACACAACAGAAACTGTGTTGGTTGTATAGTCGGTTTTCATTGGTGTCATGGTATATATGTTTCTTATATTTCATGTTTCACTTCTCTTAAAGCCTGTTTTTATGTTCAGTTATACTTCTTGTCCAGGTACCTCAGAGTTCCTTGTCATCCTGACTCATAGTGAAAAGTAACTTAAAAGCCATTGACTGTGAGAGAGAGGCCCTTCTCCTTTAAGATAGTGAACCCAGTAATGCATCTACTAAGAAGTCCTGTGGAGCATAGCATTTACTGTAAGTCTGAAAAAAAAGAAACAACCAACGAACCAAACACAAACAAACCAGTGAAACCAACCAACCCAAAACCAGAAGTATAGAGGAGCACTGGTGCCAAAGTGTCACGTTTTCCTGTTATTGCTCTACTGGCTGATGGTCCTGTCTTGCACAGGCTCTTGTCCATCTGTCCTGTGCAGTAATAGCAATTCAGTACAATGTTAATGTAAGTGTGCAGGAAGAAAACTGCAAAAGGCTTCTGAAAAAGCTAAAACAATGTAGTAGCAACCCCTTTGCTAGTATAGCTGTTGTGTCCCTCTGATAGTGAGCAGAGAGTAATAGTCAAGAGATCAGACTCCCGTGTGTGTACTAGCTGCTTTCCCAGGATGATTCTCATTTCTGTGACGGTGTATCAAGTGCTATGTTGTGTTTTTTTTTCCTGTGTCAGTTATTTTGGCAAAGGAGTGATTGGACTGAATTTGTGTCCTTATTTTAAATTTTAATAACTGAAGAAATGTGAAACACAACATGTTCTTGCCTCACTTCTTTTTCAGAGGCATACACATGTAACTTCTAGAGAAAGTACTTTAGCAGGGGCTCTGATAATTACACCGCTTCTTGTTCCCCTCCTTTACCCCACTAGGTCTTTTGGGACATCACATCTGGTGAACTCCTGCAGCCAGAGCGGCTGAGAGCAGAACGTTCACAGGTGGTGGTTAAGTTAATAATAAATTAGGCAGCTATTTGATTAAGTAAGAAAATAACACCCAGTAGAACCAGTTTCCTGAGTATTATGAGCAGCCAAAAGTCCTGTGTTTTTAAGTGCAGCAAAGGCATTTCTAGTGATTCTGACAATACTTTGCAGAAGATGACAGTGAAAGTTTTCCAAGTGTCTCCTTCCTCTCCTCCCTCCACTTTTTTTCATGTGCCATAGCACCAAAAAGGCTTTGTTTTGCTGCTGGTTTTAAATTTGCATGGCGTGGGGGTAGAAATGCCCCTCTTAAGCTTTAAAATATCAGAATGGGTTTGTTAGTTGTTCGATGTTGGTTTGGGCTTGTTTGGGTTTTTTTGCCTCTCCTCTCTGGTTTCGTGAATCAGGAGGATGAAAATCTCTCAATTCTTGCCTTGATGGGATTTGGACATGGTAGTGGTGGCAAATAAACAATCTTTCAGTCTCATTCCCTTTGCTGTGTACACTTGGCAGCTTTTGCTTCAGGTCTATCTGCCCAGCATCCCATATTGTCCCTACACCAGGATGTGAGCCATTGTGGCAGTGTAATTGGTGCCCTTTGCCAGGAGATCCTGGGGCATTGCAGGAGTGTCAACTGAGCAGCAACAAGGAGGAACTGAATGTTAATATGTCTGGGAACCCCATGCCAAATGCAATGTGTGGCTCTGAGAACTCTGTGGCACAGTGTAGACTTGATGAAGGTGGCTGGCTTGACTATGTTACATACATTTTTCTCTGATGATTCAAATAACAGCAAAATAACTGTCCCCAGGGGACTGTGGCTAAATGAGTAAATGGAACATTTTCTTAAACTTTTGTTAAAATGTCCCTGTAGAAAGTTTAACTTTGAACTCTTGTATCTTTTTGATTCAAACCTTGGTTTGAATTTTATACCTTTTTAATTGGAATTTTTATTTGACCATATTCCACTCTTTTACCTTCCTCTGTAAAACATAAACGGCATTTTATTACCTTTAGTAATAAATGGCATAGCTTATTGTGCTGAGTATGTCTTTTGTGTGCATACCAAAAGCAAGACAACAGTTGGCGTGGTGTGGATGTGGCTGACCTGTGGTAGCAGGAGGCCCGGAGGTAGAAAAATCTAGATCCTGTGCAGTTAAGAAGAATTTTAAAGAGATTTTGTGTCCTCTTTCTTATTAATGGCTTCTGATAGTTTAAGTATCGATGATTATATAGCACAAAAACATGGTATAATCTTGTTCTAGTCTTGAAGTGTACTCGCAGAGCTGCTTGGTGCTAGCTGACAAATTCTTACATTGAGATACAATGTTGTCTGCATTCCTCTACTGCTTTGATATTTGTTGTATCTCTAGGAGCAGACTGGAAGAGTAAGGTCTTGTTTTCAATTTCATGACATTTTGGAAACTTCTTCTCGAAGTTCAGTTATGCTGTTTGAAGTGACAGTTGCTGCACAGATCGTTATAATCGACATGTTGTTGTAAAGCTAACTGGAATTAAAAATAATAAGGAAAAATATTCACAAGTTTTGATGTAATTGCTTCTGCCTGTCTGGTATTAAACTACAGTGCTTTTAGTAAGAGTTTATTAAAAACCTATTAGCTGAAAAGTGGGATAATGTAAAAGTACAGTCTCTGTGCTTTTGTGCTGATAATGGTATAAAAAAATAATTCCTGTGTGTTCAGAAACAACTTCTGTGGGTAGCTCTACGCTCACTTTTCCATGCATTGATATTTCAACAAATAACAGTCACAGGAAAATGACAAAGCAGCACTTTATAAGCGAGTCTATGCAGGCTGAGTTGTTTCTTTACTCAGTGCTATTTTTTTCCCTGTTTTGGCAAAAAGCAGTGAGAGATAGTCTTTACATTGGCAGGTGGGAACATGAAGACATTTTTGCCTTTGCTTGCCTGTGTAAGGATTTGTTGTATGAAATTTTTTTGTTGTCTTCAAGACAATAGCTGTGTTTTGTATTACCAATTTACATTTTTTAACATGTGAACCAGTGCCTAGCAACATACAGGCAATGCTTTTGCTTCTAGAGATTACTGTCCCAGAGTGTATACTATCTGGTGCTTTGGTGAGCAGGATTGTGCAGTGTCTGTGTCTCTATGAGTCTGTTACATCTGTGAATTGTTACATTTGACAGTGGGGTATTTGAGGTGTGGGGCCTCCTGAGCCTCAAAAAGTTCTGTGAAAGAACAGAGAGGAACTGGATGTTTTTTTGGGTTTTATGGTGAATGTGACTTGTTTTTCTTAAATAGAAATTTCCCCTTGAATAGAAATTTCCCCTTAAAACCCAATTCCCAGTGAATTCTGAGTGATACTCTTTGGCAAGCAGGAAAGTTTCCCATAGAGGTTGACAATATAAACATCTTGCGTGTGCGCTACTTTGGGTTCCTCCTGCTGTCCCATCTCTTTGATACAACTTAGTTGGCACTGGCTTTGCCAGCTGCTGTTGTTCAGGCTGTTGGAGTTGAGCTGGTGCTAGTGCTCGGGAATTACGGCATAAAATTACAGTCTCTTTACCCAGCAAGACAACCATGTAGTAGGGAACATTATCTGCAGTTTGTTGTCCTGCTTCTGTCTACTGGGAGGGGGAAACGAATGCAATGCAGCCCAATAGATTTTGAAGAGCTGGAGGAAGCAAATGACCGGGTATGAGCTTTTGCTCAAACTGTACCTGATTGGAATAATTTGAGTTCAGCATGATTTTTTTGTGAAGAATATTTGCAGTTTTGTGAATGACCTTAACTTATAAAGCTTATAAAGTTTTCACAGAAATGCAATTCTTAGTTTAGCTGGTGGTGGTTATGAAGAGTTGATGAAAACCACAGGTGCTTTTGGAGGTGTAAGGCCTGGTATGAGAGACTCTGGTCCCAAACACTTACGGTTATCTAGTTTAAAAGCACATAGGCTTTGTTTATTACTTTTTAAAGAGCCAACACTTATATGTTACATGAACAATTGTATTTATGTTATGAGTAATTATGTAGTTTATTAAAATCAGGACTAGGCAAGATGAGCAGTACTGTGTTGATGGCAAGTCAGTGCAAAGCATGCTTGGAAGTTGTTTCTGTTATTGGGGATTTCACATTGTGAATATTGGAGCTTACCTCTGCGGAGCAGATGGAGAAAGTTGTATATGATATGCCAAAAATATTTCTTCAGTAATTAAAGATTATTTTTTGTTTGCCACCATTTGAATTACCTGCTTTATTTTTGAGGTTTAATTAAGATACAGTCAGCTTGTGCTGACATGGACATAAAATCAATTCCTAGTTTGCCTGAGGAAAAGGCTCTTTTTCCTTTTGGGATCTGGCTATGTATTTTTTGTTAAAGAAAAAATCATTAGCAATTTAGAGAGCAGAAGCAAATAGCCATTTTTAAAATTCATGTCCTCAAATGTTAATTTGAGGCTTTGAGGCATAAATGACCTTTCTAACCAGCCCAAACTTGTCAAACAAAGAAACTACAGAAATAAAATACTTTGTTCTAATACAACAGATTGCCTTTCAGGGAGAATTTCAAAACAATTCTGCCTCCCTCTTTTGAACAGCATTAAATATTGTCTTGTGCTAAATTTGAATTTTGATTTATGTGCATTGTTGCAGAGATGCTGAGGGAATCTAGGCACCCTGTGCAAATTCAGCTACAGACTTCAACTCCTAGAACCCAGGGCAAGTGAATAATGCTTTCACCCATAGCTACCCCATCTGGTATTACTTAGCACCGGAAAAGCAGATAGGCGTGGGCCAGAAGCTGAGGGGAGTATTAAAAGGGGATTTCTTTCTTGCCACAGACCTGCAGAGTGAGGGAGAAAGAGCAGAGAAGGGAAGTAAAACTAACACTACTTCTTGAAACCTTTCATATAAGTATTTAGATTGCTGTATACACCTCCAAGGTCAGATTTTAAAACTAAGTAAAAGGATTTCCTAACTACTAGGGATTTCATTGAGACTAGAACTGTGATTAAGTCTATCCTGTACAAATAGGAAAAACACTGGTTGCATCAATGATAAGCCTGTCATTGTCAGATTTACTAGAGAAAAGAAATACAGAAAAGGTCAAGGTGGAAGATACAAGGCAATATAAAAAATAAGTGTCTTTATACAATATAATGCATTCTTTTCTACCTCTATGCAAGAAGATAAACTAAATTTGGTACTCAAATAACATTCTTCTCTGTCAGATGTGCTTGTAATAACTGAAATTTATCTCTTGAAAGGGTGACATGTTTCTGAAGCAAGCACCACAGTATAAGCTCGCTCTTTAGGATATAAGTGAGTAGTATCCTGTTGTCACTGTTCTTGTTTTACTGCTTGCCTGTTTTTGCTTACCTATATTTTGTCTTTGCTAACATTGATCTGCATAAAAAAAGGAGTATCTAATTATTGAATTTCTTGCAACTTCAGAAATTGAAGTATGTCCTTTAATTATTTGCTGTTTTTTCCTATTACTTACCTGAACAGAGATTTACCTGGCATGTTCTGCCGCATAACCTATGTTTATCTATCTACAGCATAATCCTGTTTTAAGTTTCTCGCATAAATGTGAAAAAGTCGCACTTGTCATTTTCAAATACTCAACAGCTGAGCAGTATCATAAAATCTCTGGATCATATTGCTAATGTTCGTTAATATTTGGTTGCTTGAATCTTTTATGTTAGGTTTTATTTTATCTTAGGGATGAAAAGCACAGCTTGGTATGCAAATATTTGAGGAAAGTTAATGTGATCCCTTCATTTTTTTCATTGTGGTTTTTTTTTAAGATCTTTGGAAAACTGTTTTGTATAAGATGGGAAGAAGAGAAGATGCTTACTTATTTGCTTTCTCTCTTGGCTTAGTAGAAGGTTCATATATAACCCTTAATGATAACTTTTCTGACACTTCAGGATCCATTCATGAAGGTATTTTGCTTTGATAGACTCACAGATTTCCATGCATATTGCATGATCTTCTCATAAAATTAGGTTGTGTTGGAATTTTTGATTGCTTATGGTTCTTGGTTCTTTTTGTTTTGATTCCTAAGAAGAAGCAGCTGTTCTTGAGGCCTGAAATTTTGTACAAAGCACTCAAGGCAGATCAGATGCTATACTTGGCCAGATGCTATACTTGTGTGGATTGAAACATGTCACTTCTTACAGAGACTGAGTTTATCCGACTCAAGAGAGAGGAGAAACAGAAGTCTTATTATTGCTTTAAAAAGAATTCAGTATTTTTTAAAACATCAACCTGTGAACAAATTTCAGGAAGAGAACAATGAGATCTTTCTTATCTACTGCAGTGTCAGCCTACGGAGCAGTTCTGGGCTGTAGAGTGCTTGATCAGTCTGCAATGTTCATTCAGATGTAAGAACAAGATGTGACTGCCACAAGGAATGCATATGCATATACCAAACCAAGGCAGAGTTGCTGGTGGAAAACTTAGGCCAACATCACATAACTCAACTTACTGAAACAAGTATGAACAACAGTTCTTAATTATCCCATAGCTTACTAAATTTGCAGTTGAGTCTGGTAGTTGATCCAGATTGCTGTCAGACGATATTTTCTTGCACACAGACATATGCGCTTTTGCTTTAAATTTGTGCAACTATTTCAGTTTAGTTGTGCGTATCTTAAGCAGCTGCTAGTTTCCATTTTATTTGGTTATGTGAGTACTGACATGAATAAGTATCAGGATGGAGCTTTAGGTTATGTTTTAAGCACAGCAGAACTTGAAAAAAACCTAAAAAGCTGCTGAAAGAATGCTGTCATTGGCTTTTATGCAGCCAAAACTTATCTGGTCTCTGAGGCCATAGCCTGTTGTTTGTTTTTTTTTTTTTTTTTTTTTTTAAAGAGATTGAATTCCTCTACATGCCTATAAGATATCTACACATTAATCTTCTGAAAATGCTGCTTCACCTGTTTGGCCTTAAGTGTGTTTTGTGCTGCCATGACAACTCAGTCACAAAGAGCTTTGAGTTTGTGGTTTCCAGGCCTGATTAATACAATGTACTGCGATTAGAAATAGGAAAAAAACCCACAGGCTCTTTTCCAATTTAAATATTCCCATTGCTCCCAGGGCTTCCCCAGCTCTCATTGTGCATTGTTTCAGGTTATTCATAATTGAAATATTTTGTTGAGTGTGGCTCAGACAGTGGGAAGAGCCTCTGGAATTTATTGGAGCTTTCAGCCTCTGAGCAGCATAGTTTTGGCATCTCTTTGAGAGGGCTCTACGACTTGCTATGTACCCTAAGAACAACCGGACATACTACTATAACAGCATTTCCTATGTTGTATGTACTAGCACCAGTGCTTATCCAGATGGGAATTAAAGATAATACAAGCAATATGACTTACTTTGCTCTTGACATAATCTTTAGTCACTGTTACTTCTTTCCTGCGGTAGTGTCAGTGGGAAATGAGTTGGTGAAGAACATTAAAGCAGTGAAATGGAAAAGACAGCAAAAACAAAGCTAGACATATATATAATTTTTTTGTATAATGGTAACTGGTTTGATAAAATAGTTTTAGAGTTTTCCACTGTTAAATATGAGTTACTAAATGACATTACCTTTTTTTTTTTTTTTTTAATACAACTGCTGTGGAAATGTGTACACAGCTAGTGTTTGAGTAAACAAAGCCTAGTAGCCAGA